CATTATCACTCTCTGTTGACAGCTTTTTACTTTTACTAGATTAATTTTAATGTGGATTATGGGGTGCTAAGAAGGACTAATTATGTTTTTAGTCTCCTCCAACTATTATCTCATTTTGTATAGAGTAAAAGCAATTCTGCAGAAAAGTAAAAAAGAAACTTGCTTATTATCTTACAAATATTTTTTTTGTGTGTGGAACAAATAAGGCACTTGTATAAAATATCTTGAAATTTCCCACAGTTGAAGTTTAAGTGTTTTTTTGTTTGTTTGTTTGTTTTTTGTTTTTGTTTTTGGACAGTCAGAGTTAGACAGTGAGAGAGAGAGAGACAGAGAGAAAGGTCTTCCGTTGGTTCACCCCCCAAATGGCTGCTATGGCCGGCGTACTGCGCCAATCCAAAGCCAGGAGCCAGGTGCTTCCTCCTGGTCTCCCATGTGGGTGCAGGGCCCAAGCACTTGGGCCATCCTCCACTGCCTTCCCGGGACACAGCAGAGAGCTGGACTGTAAGAGGAATAACCGGGATAGAACCAGCGCCCCATTGGGACTAGAACTCAGGGTGCCAGCGCCACAGGCAGAGGATTAGCCATGGTGCCGGCCGAAGTTTGAGTTCTTTTAACACAGGGAAGAATGTCATTCTGTAGAGTGACAAAGTGAGACTTTGGCTTCTTCACTTTCCTGTCATCATTATTTTGATTCTTGAAGATGAAATGGCCTGCATTTACATCTTTTGTGGTTGTCTTCTGCCACAAGTTCAAGTATGCTTTGCAGGGGCCAGTGTTGTCATGTAGCCTGTAACACCTGCATCCTATATGTGTGCCAGCTCGGTCCCAGCTGTTTCACTTCTGATCTAGCTCCCTGCTAAAGCCTGTTTGGAAACGGCATCCTATCATCATGAGCAAACTAGCCTTTCTTTGAGGCAGTTATCATCCATGAGATTATAAGTTACACAACAGGGAATCATTACGTACTGTTGGTGAGAATGTAAACTTGTATAGCCTCTATGGAAAACAGTATGGAGATACCCTTAAAAACTAGAAATGTGATCCAGCAACCTCACTACTGGGTGTATATCCAAAAAGACATGAAATCTTCAAGTCAACGAGATACATGCTCCATCGTGTTTACGCAGCACCGTTCACAATAGTCAAGATAGGCAATCAACCAAGATGTCCACCATAAACTGGATGGTGAAGAAAATGTTGTGTACAGACACAGTGGAATATTATTCTTCCATAAAAAGAAGAAATCCTGTTACTGGAAGCAAAACAGAAAGACAAATAAAACATATTCTCCCTCATATGTGGAAGGTTAAAAAAAATCTCAATTTGAACACAGAATAGTAATTACTCTGGGCTAGAAGGGGTATGGAGGCACCGAGAGAGACAGCATGGGTAACAGATACCAAGACAGAGTGACATCGAAGGAATAAATTCCTAGTGTGACACAGCATAGTGGACTGACCACAGTTCACAATAAACTAACATATTTTAGGAGCAAATAGAAAGGTGATCAAGGCTCCAGTCAAAAAGTAATGTCGAAGAAGGGGAAATGTCCATTACCTCGATTTGATCAGGGCATATTTTATACATGTGTTGAAATATTGCATTGCAGCCCATAAATATGTATTATTGTTAATTATTATTTTTTATTTATTTGAAAGGCAGAGTTACAGAGAGAGAAAGAGAGACAGAGACAGAGAGAATCTTCCATCCACTGGTTCACTTCCCAAATGGCAGCAACTGCCGGGGCTGGGCCAGGCCAAAGCCAGGAGCCAGGAGCCTCTTCGGGATCTCCCATGTGGGTACAGAGGCCCAAGGATCTGGGCCATCCTCTGCTGCTTCCCTAGGCCATTAGCAGGTAGCTGGATCAGAAGAGAAACAGTCAGGACTTGAACCTCCACCCATATGGGATGCCAGTACTGTAGGCGATGGCTTTACCCACTATGCCACAGTGCTGGCCTATTAATTATTTTTAATATTTTCTTTAAAAAGCACTACGATGTTGTCGATGTGTTTATGTGTTATAGCACATCAGCTAAAGAAAGCTAGGTAGGTGTTGTAGGAGCCCTGAGTTTCTGGGCTAACCTATGCTTTCCATTTGACACTGAGATTTTTCAGTATCCAGAGAGCAGAGCACCAGATACCCCAGCTCTACCTTTGTGCTCCAGTTTTAACACAAGAAGCCTCACTGTGATGTCACAATGTGCTGCTCAAGCCTGGAACCCTATGTCTCTGCTCATCTTCACTTGTCCTCTCTCACCTCACCCAACACCCCACTCTCCACTCGTATTTTCCTGTCTACACTACTTTCAGCCTGGCTTTACTTTAAGCTTCATTTCCTGACCCTGCGTGTCTAATAATCAGAGTCAGTTATTAATAACTAAATAACTAATCCATCATTATTGTGAATCAGTTGCTGACAGCAACTTAGATTGCTTAAAGGCACCACAGAGATAAACAGGTGCTTCTGAAGACAGGTTCATGTATTCCAGGACCACAGGCTTCACCTGTTTTTCTTCTCACTCTTCCTCTTTCCAAAGAGACTGATCTCATGGGGGCCAGGGTCATGAGTCACACACTTCATGCAGAGAGCCGCAGCCCGACTGGGTTATCTTGTGGAAGGAACATGTGCCGGTAGCAAAGAACATTCCCCAATCAACCTTACAGTTAGAAGAAGCCAAGCAATATAATTTTACCAGTACATTCAGATATTTGCTGGGAATTCCTAAAATAGTTTCATTTCCTAAAGAGACAGACAGGCAGAGAGATCTACAGTATAAGTACAATCTCTATTTCCCTGTTACTTTCCCCTTTTCTTCATGCTCAGAATGCTGGCTGAACTATAGCACCAACTGTGCAAGCAAGAAGATAAAATCCACATGGCAGAAGTGAGAGAATGGGAGTCTGGGAGTCTGTCTTCCTAGATTCCTGGCACCCCTGAACTACGTTAGATGGCCTGGTATCAGATTTCTTCTTAAAAGTCTATTTCTATAAGCCCTGATGAATTTAATGTTTTTGATACATGCAGACAAAGGCAAGCCCTAGAGATTCACCTTCGTACCTGGAAGAATCAGGACAGAAGCAGCTCCCTGCCCTGCTCAGCGAGCTCTCCAGCATTCAGCAAAGTGAACATCCCTGCTGGTCAGGATAAAGGGGCTGAGACTGGCATAACTGAGTTCTAGAAGTATTTTGATATTGGATATTGTGGAATCCCCAGTCAAGGTGGACCCTATGTAGAAGGAGAAAATGAAGTCTGTCCAATAGGAGAAGAGGAAACAGGTCATGAGAACGAGAGTGCTCTGAGTAGCTCTGACCTCTGGGCTGGGATGTTTTGCAGTCCTGGAGCTCTGGAGGTAGAGGACGCGCTTGTGATGTTTGTACAGACGGAGAGCCATGTGCCCACTGCTCCAGCCCATGGCACTCTGAAAGGTGAGGTCCCGAAGGGCCATGAGGGAGAGGAAAAGCCACCTGACTATTCGCCCAGCTGGCAGCATGTAGCAATACCTAACATACATTCTAACTCCAGACCCGTTCATGCTATCAACTGTTGAAATGTAATAGAGCAGGTTAGAACTTATAAGAACACTGAAGACCCAGAAGAGGAGGAGGTAGGGAAGAAGCTGCCAGGCAGTGCGGGGTTTGAGCTTTCTCCACCAGGTGGTCCCAGGACTGACGGTGATGGCCTGGAGGACACTGAGGAGGCAGGTGGTGCAGATGGAGAGGCTCCGGGCCACCCTGTTCAGGTAAATCACAGCTTTGCAACCAATGTCACCTAGGAAATTTCTGAAGTAAATGACAGTGGTTATGTCTCTGATCCCTGTGGTGCAAATAATGAGTATGTTTGAAACAGCCAAGTGGATGAGGACAAGGTCTGTGGGCTTTTTCTCAAGACCCATGACCAAAGTATGTACATATCTCACAAGCACAAGGAAGTTCCCCACAACTCCAGGTCCAGTGAGAGAAAAGAAGATCATTCCGTGGATGATGTCAATCCCAGTCATCTCCCAACTTCATCAACGGAATGAGGGAAACCTTTTGAGGAGTACAAAGACGTAAAAGTGACCAAGTTCAGGTCTGTGGGTTTTCTTTGTGTTTAGATTAATAGCAGGGTCTGAAAAAAGTACACCGCCCATAGTTCTTTTCTCTTTTCAAATTGACTTTCATATCTTCCTTGCTTGCTTCCTTCTTTTTGTCACAAAGATGATAACTAAAATTGAAATGTAAATTCTGTATTTGTTCATCACCAGCCTTCCCAAATAAGCCTACTCTGTGTCCCTTGTGTCCAAAAGGGCATGAGGACTTTTTTCCTAGACAGCTGCTGAACAAGGGACAATGACCTCTGTCGATCCAAGCTGTAACCCTGAAGTCCTTCTTTTTCATGGCTCACACTCAACAACCTGCTCCACTGGACTGTGCTGGTGTGTCTCTTCTCCATCTTTGTTACCAGTCCTCAATGAGAGCTGGCAATAAGCCAGGCACAAAAGTCAAGCCCTGCATAGTCTTACTTACGTGTAGAAACGAAAATGTCATCTCAAGTGTGCAGACAGCAGAAAAGCAGTTACCAGAGGCTGCAAAAGGTGTGTGTGTGGGCGGGGGAGGTACAGGTGTGGAGGGAGGTAGGTTAATGTGTAGAAGGGTGCAGCTTTATAGGAGGAATAACTTCTAATGTCTATAGCACAGCAAGATGTCTATGACTGGCAACAATCAATTGCATGTTTCTGTGTACCTGGATGAGAGGATTTTGAGTGTTCCCAACACAAAGAAGTGATAAGTGTGTTAATACGGAGGGAGGAGATAGAAGGGCCAAGCCTCACCCCAGGCAGGACTGACTGGCAGAGCTAAGACTTGTGTTCAACTGTGCCTCTGGGTGGGGTCAGTGAGAAACTTCTTTTTTCCTCCTGCTTGCCTTGTCCTTGCTCTGTTTCTTCAGAGAATGTTCCTAGGTATGGCCTTGGACATACAACCTGTTCTCCCTCAGACCCTACCTTCTCATCTATGGACAGGTCAGTGCTTTGTCCCAGCTGGGTCCACAGTGAGGACTACGTGAGTGGATGTCTGCAGTGCAGCAAGAAAAGACAGGTGTTTTAGAACGGTTGTCAGTGTCATTGTCCTCACATTGGTTGTCACACTTTTTCAATTCCCTATAATTAGGTACTGTGCTATGTTGTGAGTCTAAGGAAGAGAAATTCAGAAAAAATGAAATAATAAAAAAGAAGCCAACAATATCCTATCCCCAAACAGTAAAGGACACCAAAGGAAGAGACACACTTAAGTTAAAACACTACAAAAATCCCAGTGCTGGGAGGGAGAGTGCAGAAGGGCAGGGAGCCTGGGGGAAGAGCTCCCCACTGCAGGCTGAAAGCCCACTGCTGCCTGATGCCCCCAGCCTCCCTCACGCCTGGGAAACCCAGCAGCCCTGGGCTCAGAGCATCAGTGGTGCTGCTGCACAGCGGCTCCCTCCAGGGCCAGACAAGCAGACACTGCTGGGTGCATTGGGAAGGGATCCCCATCCTCTCCCTGGGTCCTCACACCTTCCTCTTCCACAGGCACAGGGGAGCTGAGACCCTCCCTCTCCCCACCTGCCCCTGACCAGCCCTGCCTGGGGCAGCCCCCCTGGCACTCAGCATCACTCACCTGAGCAGTGTGCAGGGGCTCTGGCAGGAACTGTGGAGAGCAGCACAGCCAGGCCTCTTTATCCTTCCCTGAGTCCCAGTGCTCAGGGACACTCTCACTGCTGTCAACATGTCAGTGTCAGGAGTTTGGCTCTGCCAGGGGAAAAGGCTCCTTGTGCACGCTGTGGAGCCCTGGGGCCAGCTCTGCCCTCTCCCTGCTGGGCCCTCATTTGCTGAGCCCAGAATCCTCCTGGTCCTAATTGTGGTGAACCTGCCCTGATGAGCAGGAGGCAGCTGGGTGAGGAGCAGGTGGCAGAGGGCTCTGGGTTCCTGGGACCTGATTATGTTCTCATCCCCCTCCTTCCTCTCACCTCCAATACTCAGGACCAACTGGGAAGGAGTATTGTAGAGTCAGCAGTGGACACTTTCTCAACTTTTGTGCTTCAAATTTTTAAAAAATATTTATATATTTATTTATTTATTTGAAAGTCAGAATGACAGACAGATTGGGAGAGTCAGAGACAGAGACAGAGAGAACTTTCATCCTCTGGTTCACTTCCCAAATGGCCACAATGACAGGGCTAGGCCAGATAGAAGCCAGGAGCCAGGAACTCCATCCAGATCTCAATGTGTGTGGCAGGGGTCCAAGTACTTGAGCTGTCCTTTGCTGCTTTCCCAAGCAAATTTGCAGAAGGCTAGGTCAGAAGTGAGCAGCTAGGACTCAAACCAGCTATTCAGAGTAACTTTAGATTCACTATGAATGTTTGATTGGATATTTCTATTTGTGCCAAATATATTGTTGGGATTTTTTTCATACGGTTTACATTAAATCTGCAGTTGGCTTTACATAGTATTGACTGATTTAAAATGTTAAGTCTACCAACCCATGAGGATGGGATGTCTTTCCATTTATTGTTTTAATTTCTTTTAGCAATGATTTGTAGTTTTTAGTGTACAAGTTTTTTTGATTTTATGTTGAGGTTATTCCTAGTATTTTATTCTTTTTTATACTATTTTCAGATTTATTAGTTCACTCCCCCAAATGGCTGCAATGGACATGGTTGGGCCAGGCTGAGGCCAGGAGCCGGTACCTTGTTATGAGTCTCCCATGTGTGTACAGGGGCCCAAGCACTTGGGCCACCTTCCTCTGCTTTCCCAAGCCATTAACAAAGAGCTGGATCAGGAGAGGAGCAGCTGGGACAGAAACCAGTGCCCATATGGGATGCCAGCACCTCAGGCTAAGGCTTAACCTACTATGCCACAGTGCAGGCCCCTGAGGTAGGCAACCTTGTCTTGTCCTTCTTATTGGAAGCAAAGCTTTAGTGTTTTACCCTGGAGGATGATGTGAGCCTGAGGTGTGCAATTGTGGCCTTCAATATGTCAAGGTAATTTTCTCCTAACCCCTGGTTTCCTTGCTGTATTTTAATGAAGGGCACTGAGTTTTGTGAAATGTTTTTTCTGTGCCAATTGAGAGGGTTATGTGATTTTTCCTTCATTCATTGCTAAATCCAAAGTAATTTTTTTCTGCCAGTGTATATAAAATATGCTAAAATAAACATTTGGGGATATAGAGTTGGGTCTAAGGATATACAGAAGGATCTCTCTGTATCCATCTGTTTCTCTCCATTTCAAAGAAAATGAAACATTTTTAAATGTAAAAAATAAAATCTATGCAGATAAAACATCCTCAAAATGAATACAATACATTAAGATATTTTTAAAAATGGGCTTAATGGTCATAGATGTCACTTTTATAAAGCTTATAGAAATCCTTCTGCAAATTGTTTATAGATAATTGTGACAGCAAATTATTTCTTAGCTGTCTGCTGTGCACAGACTTAGTTACTTTTACTTTGATCTGCAAGAAATACTCTGCAAGCCTTGTAGTATAAAGAAACAAGTAGTTTATTTAAGTAGCAAATTTTAAGAAGCAGAGCACAGAGAGAGAGAGAGAAAGAAAGAAGGGGGCGGGGGAGTCCCTAAGAGTAGGGACTCAACCCGGGAATTTACCACTAGGCAATCTTCACACAGCAACGGAAAAGGATCCATACTGAGAACCAAACATCATCAGTAGTCATCACGGGCACGTTCAACATTCAGCATGACTGCGCGTTCCCCTCGGGATGGAACAGCAGCAGCAGAGGTTTGCTCTGGCTCCCTCTTAAAGCCCCCCAAGGACAAAGGGGGCTCATTGCCAAGATTTTAGGCAAGCAGTGTGTCACGTCTCTGATCTTGGCCAGAGAGCCAAGACACGAAGCATGCCTACCTGTTTATCAGAAAACATTCCTTTATCCTCCTCCCTGGGAACTGGCCAGGCTCCCAAGGAGCAGGAGAAGGTCACCCGGCAGACAAGTTACTTGTTTGCCAGAGCCGAACCTAGGTACAAGCCTCTTCATCCTAAAAATTTGTCCTTACAATAATATAAAAAGAGAATAAGATTAGCTTGTAGCTTTTATTTCTCTTAAATTCGGTAAGCTCTTTTCTGCCCAAAGATTCCTTATTCACCAAAGAATCTCACTAACTCTCTGTTTGAACATATTCTCCAATTATTTTCATCAAAATGGTCTTATTAAAATGAGAATAGAGGTCCACATTGTGGCTCAGGGGGTTAAGATGCAACTGTGATGTCAGCACCTCTTATAGGGCTGGTTTCTGATCCAGCTCCCTACTAAGGCACTTGAAAAAGCAGTAGCAGAAGGCCCAAGTGCTTTGGCCTCTGCCACCCATGGGGGAGAGCCAGGTAGAGTTCCAGGCTCCTCTCCTCTGCTTGGCCAGGCACCAGGTGAGGCAGCCATTTAGGGAGTGGACCAGGAGGAGGAAGAATTCTCTTGCTGCCTTGTCCTCTCTTTCTGTAACTCTGCTTTTCAAATAAATGAATACATGGTTCTGGTGCCCCACTGGTCTGTTGTCTGATGAATGCAATGGATGGGGAAGATATGCAGAGGGAAGATCACATGGCCAGCCTGGAAGGAGAGAGAGACAGAGAACACACACTCCAGGCCCAAGGTGGCTTGGCTTATATAACCAACCTTCTGAGAACTGCCCTCCATGACTTAAAGAACTCCCACTGGGCCCACCTCCAGGCACCATAACTTGATGAAGTCTCAACACTGGATCCAATAGCCCATAACATTAACCCATGAATCATTAATAGAACATTTTGAGGACAAGGCTGTTAAGCTATAGGGCTTCAAAGGACTTCTAAACTACATAGCAGCTAATATGAAGATTTACCTCTTTGTGATATAAAGGGAGAGGTTACTAACAGTGGTTAAATATGCTTGCCATTCTGCAGCTGTTTTGATTAGCTCACATTATTCTAAGCAGTGCTATTTCAGTTTGTCAGAAAGGGGAAAAGACATCTTGGTAAATAATATATAGATGTGCTAATATAAATGTTTCTATTATTTTGTACTTTTCAGAGTAAAAAGAAACTCTTTTTCACGCACAAAAGCAACACCTAATTGTCAACAGATTAATTTAAAAATTATTTCGGCCATCTTTTAATTCTTCTGTCGATTATTAACATTCACGAGCAATTTATGACACAACTAACCACTTGTGGACGTGTTGATGATGCCTTCACAAATCTAAGCTTGTGAATTCATTGTGCACGTTCCCTCCGTTTCCCTAACATTACGATGGAAACATTTAAACTAAAAGGACGTCTGTATCACTGGATTATAATCTAGTACAAAAAACCCATGCGTGCGTGCGTGCGTGCGACATTACCAGATGGCTGACCGCAGCAATACATGTGGAAAGGACCAGTCTTTACAGAACAACTCTCTGCTCCCAGAGCTGTGCTTCGTGAGCCGCGCCCCTTGAGTGGGAGAGCCACGTGGAGGATAAAACGGTATGCACCTCTGCGCACACGGGGAGAAACCTGGGCCTGGAAGAGCCGCTTCCGCAAGCGCTGAGAAAAGCGCACCTGGAAAGGAGGAGCTACAAGGGCCCTGGACCCTCCACAGGCTGCGGCGTGGTAGGTGATGGGCGCCTTCCAAGGGGACTCCAGGTCCAGGCCGAATCCGTCTCCACAAGGACCGGGGGCGCTGGGTTAACAGGCAGAGGCAGGTGGAGGGGAGCCACGAGCCGCCTCGACCCAGCCTCCCGCCTTCTCTGTCTCTTCCAAAGCAAAGAGCCGCCCACGTCTGCAGCCTCCGGCCTGCTCCGGCTTCCTCCGGGTTCCGCCGTCAGCGCCCCGCGTCGCCACCCTGGACCGCGGCGTCCTCCGGCCCGGACGCGCTCAGCGCCGCGGCGCGGGCCCTGTGACAGGCAAGCCTTCGGGAGTGGCCCCGCGCGGGGACGAGGTGGCCGAGTGGTTAAGGCGATGGACTGCTAATCCATTGTGCTCTGCACGCGTGGGTTCGAATCCCACCCTCGTCGGCGCCCTGCTTTTAGGGCTGGCAAACGGTTCACAGGCGGCTGCAGCGTGCGCTCCCTCTGGTTCTGTGGCCTTTGCCCGCTTGAGCTTCGCGCTCACTTCTCCGGGTCCGAGCCTCCTGGCGGGGCCGCTTCCCTCTCTTCCCTCTCTCCCGTTTTGTAACAGGCCTGAGCTTGCATCCATGGCATTGATTTGGCAGACGTCCGAGGACATCTTGCCGCTGTGACCCCGATTTCACTCCACGTAGCCCCTTTCTCGGTGTTTGCCACACTCCTGCAAGGGCCGTGACGTCCAGGCGGATCTCCCGCCGTGGCAGACGGGGCCCTGAGTGCCAGGCGGCGGGAACCGGGTGGGAGCGCTCCCAGCGATGGAGGGATGGAGACAGGAGTTTTACTTTAATTAATCAATTAATTTCATTTTTATTTAATTAAAGGAAGTTTTATTTTGGTGTTAGAAGAATGTATTGGTCATGCACCTGGAATCCTTTATGGATCTTGCTAACAACTGATGGTTTTATTTATTTATTTGAAAGAGTTACAACAACTGATGCTTTTCAAACAAAAGTTGGAAAGGTAAGGATTGTAGCTCTGTGCAGTGTAGGACATGGTGCTGTGCTGTAGGCATTCCCTGAGTCACTCAGTGGCCGCTCACACCTCTCCCAGGGCCCCGCAGGGCACTGTTCTTGTTCCTGGAGAGCACTGCCTGCTGCCTCAAGTGTAGGCTTCTCCCTGGAGGCTTTCACCCAATTGACCACTGCAATCCTGTCTTCAGTTTGCCTGAGTGTGAGAACTCAAAAATATAGAATATAGGGAATGAGAGCACAGGATAAGTGACAGCTCTGAAGTACAAAGGAGTAGGAATTAAAGATATAAAAATTGGAAATAAGAGCCTAACCAGGAATGATACACCAATAAAAATTACTTAAATATATGTGTGTGTATAGTGAACCAAAGAGGAGGGAGGTACAACAGAAGATATAATGTTGCTAAATTTGAGAGATGGTAACGAGGTTGGTCTCAATATCACAACTTTCCCATGGCAGCCTCTCCCATGTACCTGACATGGAGAACAAGACAAATCAGCACTGCCTGAAGTAGTCATTGAGGTTTGACTCAGAGGAAGGGATTAAGTGTCTGGGAATGAAATTAACAGTGGTGTATTCAAACCGAGCCATGAAGAGTTTACTGAGCAACAAGAATAGACAGGAAGTGTCGAGATGAATATGCAGCTGAGAATAGCTCAGTGGAAAAATGTGGTTACAGTTGGTGTGCTAGAATGTAGGTGCCCCATATAAGCATAATTGGGTAATTCCTTTATTGATGTTGGATTGCTAAAACTTGATTGAACTTAGACTCTCAAGCATAAAATAATAACTAAACAAATCTAAAGAGTAGGAGGCATGGAAGAGAAACTGGAAACATACTGCTTAAAAGACTTATTTATTTGAAAGCATTACAGAGAAAGAGGGAGAGACAGAAACAGAGAGAGCTTCCGTCTGCTGGTTCACTTCCCAAATGGTAGCAACAGCTGGAGCTGGGCCAGGTGGAAGCCAGGAGCCAGGAGCTAGCAGCTTTGTCTGGGTCTCTCAAGTGGGTGGCAGAAGCCCAAACACTTGGGCCATGTTTTGCTGCTTTCCCCAGGCAGCTGAATCAGACCTGGAGCAGCCAGACACAAACCAGCACCCATATGGGTGCCAGCATCCTAGGTGGCGGCTTACCCCAGGGCCGGCCCTGGAACTGGAAATCTTGATCTGCAGGACACCCTGCTCAGCGGGAAGCACACCAGCTACCTCTCACCTCTAGCATACTTAGACTGCTTCTCAGCAACACCATCGACATAGGAAGATGAACTCTGCATCGATTTTCCTGTGAAATCTTCCACAAGATTTGAAGTCGCAGTGGCTGGAAGCCTCTCCCACTTGGTGAAAGAGATAGATCAGCTTCTAGAAGCTCAGAGGACCCTAAGCAGGTTGCCTATGAAGGTCCATATCCAGGTCAATCATAATCAAGTTCCTGAAAATTAAGACAATGAAGCTCCCAAAGCAGTCTGAGAAAAATAGCGCATTACCTACAAGGGAGCAAAGATTATCAAGTGACAGTGACCTTGCAATAAACCTCACCCCTGAGGCATGGATCCCCTGACCCTATTGAGTTCTGAGTCTGACTGGTAGTGCTCAGAGACTCTTTGGGTCCCCAGGCATCGGGGTCAATTCAGGTCAGTGTCCGTTTGCATCTCTTTGCCAGTGCACAGCCCCCTCCCCCCCCATGTAAGTGATCCCATTTCCCATGAGGAAGACTGAGAAGCTCATCAGTGAAAGTTTGTGGCAGAGTCCCCAGGGAGCCTGGGTTCCCCTTTACTGCAGGGGCTCTGAGTTTCTGAAGTGGTTCAAGTGAGAGTTAAGTGAGGAGTTGTGAGCACGTGGCCTAGCAATTCAAGGCAGAATTCAAGTCAGACAACCATGCTTTCTGTGTATACAAATCAGAGATTTACAGGCCTTGCCTCCTTAGCGCAGCAGGCAGCGCGTCAGTCTCATAATCTGAAGGTCCTGAGTTCGAGCCTCAGAGGGGGCAGCTGGACTTTTGTCCCAAGTTAAGGCTCTGGGGCCAGTGTTGACAATGCATTCCCCTATCAGCACCACCTCTCAAGGAAATGCAAAAATCTTCATAGTAGATAAAAGGCTCAGGTGATCTCCTCGATGCTTCCATTTCAGTTCTAAGGGTGCCATTATCCCAAAGATTTCATGAGTCAGACCAATCTACTGTCTGTGAGCAATGGAGGTGGTAATGGAGGTGGGAGTTGTTCTAGGATCCTGGGACTGTCCTCTGATTGTATTTGGTGCAGCTATGGTGAAAAGCACTTCCTGTGGAACTCCCTATTGTGCAAGGGCAGATCTATTAATCTAAATTGTCTTGGCCATTGCAGTCTCCCTTAGGCCTTGGACACCTTCCTTTGTGGTACCCTAAGGTCTGATAGTTGACTAAATTTAGAAGAGTCCATACTTGGTGCAGTTTTGATTCCTTAACCAACCCACAAACTTTCAGAGCCATTCCCAGTCCCTCAAATAAAAATGAAATTCAGAATCTCCACTTAGTGGCTTCACCAATGAATTTTGCCTGATCTAATTTTATGTTCCTTCTGTGTGGACCATTCTCACTCTGATCTCCACCTCAAATCCCAAACAATCCAGAAACGGTTTCTGAAGTAAAGATTAAATATGTTCTGATACACGTGGCTTCGCTGCAACACCTATCTTGCTCTGAAATATATTCCTGACCTTTTATGACTTTGCGTAGCATCCTTTGCTACCACAATCACATTGGCCATCATGGGGTCATCAGTTTCATAAACACCTAGAGGAAAATCTGACCCCTCCTGTATGGACCTTGCCAAAGCAAAAACATCAGGCGGAATCTAATCCAGCCCATCAGTCTAGTTGTGCATTTATGGAAAATAATGGGGAGAATACATTTTTTCCTCCAACAACCTTTGATTTAAGGAATACACATTTCATGCATTTCATAAGTACAACTTTAGGAACATAGTGATTCTTCCCACTGTACCCTCCCTCCCACCTCTCTTCCTCCTCCGTATGCTAACTCCATTCTTATTTTTTCTAGTATCTATATTCAATTATCTTTATACACATATGATTATACTAAGAGTTCAACAAATAGCATGAAATTAAAAAAAATGTTCTTCAGCTGTTGAGACAAGGGCTGTTCAAAGTCATTGCATCTCAAAGTGTTGATTTCCCTTCTATAGTTTACCTTTTTGGTGCTCTATTTGTATTAGGGAGAATGTATGGTATTTTTCCTTTTGGGACTGGCAACAGCATGTTTCATGGCACCACAGGAATGGGTATAATTCAAATGTCAAGAAGTCTACTGCACAAATGTCCCAGTTCTTTAATCGATGAAATTAAATTTCAAAGGCAGTACAAACATTATAGATAACAACAGATTTCAGAGACACTCCCAAAGAACACATGTTGGATACTACTAAGGTCTTCTTTCCTTATTTTTATCCAATCTGATAATCTAGGCCAACTGAAGTAGAAGTTAATCATTTTATCATGATGTGTAGGTAAATGAACATTTAATTCCCAAACGAGTTGTAGAAAATAAGTGAGAAAAAAATAATGCTGTTTATATCAAGTACGATGAAATGGAAGTGAAGGAAATAAGAGCTAGAGGATAATGTTGGAGAGGTTAGTAATACTAAGATTATATTGCATTTTCACAAGTGTTCTCACCTACTGTCCCCATAAGCCACCGATGTGGCAGAGAAGTGGCAGTGAGGGCATCTCAGCACCCACACATCACACCCCATTTCAGGTGCCTTATTCTGTCCGGGTGCGGTCTCCCCAAAGGAAGCCACAGAGAAGCTCCAGAGTGTTACTTGGAAGACAGTGAAAGAGACACAGGGAAAACAAAACCAACAACACAGCAGTCAGGTAACCTTGTGCATCAGCCAAGGTGGGACTGTTAAGTACTGCCTTGGAGGTTCTGTGTTTTTAGAAGTCCGATCTGTATGACTGGGACATACCCCAGACAGGACCCTCCCCCTCCCCCACAGTGAAGGAATCCACTGGAAATAAAGTGAGTCCCAGTTTCCTCAGCCCACTAGGAAGACAGTGCTTGGAACACAAAAGTTTGAGAAGCACCTGAATCTCTAAGCAGGATGATTGGTGACGTCCATCTACATGAGGCCAGTCTGTGAAGAATGCGCAAAAGACAGTACAGAGTCAAAGAATGTGAACCAACAACTTATCTGAAAAGAAGTCCTGAAAACTGTCCCATTAGTAACCACTACAAAAAGCACATTAAACACCTAAGAATAAATTTTATTAAGAAGATGAGAGATCTGTACCCTCAAAATATAAAATATTGATAAAAGACATTGAAGACACAAATAATAGAGATAGCCAGTCTTCACGGATTGGAACAATTCACACAGTTAAAATGTAGTGGGCGAGGTAGGATCTAAACCCCTATTCCAGGTCATTTTCTTTTACCTATTGAAGCATTCTAAGTTCAGGCACAAATACAGTGCACAAAGTGATGGAACAAGGACATAAGCCTCAGCCATTCTTGCTCATTGCCCAAAAGATAGATAAACATAGGAATGTATTCCTTGCCTTTGAATCTCAATTGGGCCTCATACCCTATTGCCTTCACACCCCCACCCTGTATTCTTTTCCAGGCTCCCAAGGCCCATCAGTGTGCATACAGGCAGCTGGTCACCCACCTCTATGAATTTATTTTCTCTGAAGAAATGTGGTCTGGCTGTAAATTCGTACACTGCCTCCTCTCTAGTCTGCGCCTCTTTTCCTAACACAAAGTGGAAAAAAACACACACTTGGGCATGGCTCAGGGATAGAGTGGGCCAGGAAGGGACAGGATGGGGAGAGAAGTACAGAAATGGTGCCCTGGAGAGAGCAAGCCCCTCCAAGTTGCTGGCTTCTGGTGAGGTGGAAAGGGGCGTGGTTACCTCATACCACCTCCAAGTCCCAGGTGAGGGGAGATACATCCTGGGAAAGGGGTTATTTGACTGTCAGGTAGTGGATAGGATTACACTGGGCAGGGGAGGTGTGGCTTCCAGCTTGTGGACTTAATCTAGCACCCTGCCTGATCCCATATGAAAAATGTCACTGGTAATCAAAGTAATAAGCAGATTCACTTCAAATCTACTATAACTCCATAGTAATCAAAATAACATGGTACTGGCATGAAGACAGACATGTAAAGCAATGGGACTAAATTGGGTGTCTGCTGCAGTGGTTAAAGCACTAGTTGAGATGCCTACACCCCATAATCAGAGTGCCTGAATTCCAGAGTGCTGAGTTGGAATTCCAGTTCCAACCCAATATCAGCTTCTGCTAATATACAGCCTGGGAGGCAGTAAGTTTTGGCTCCATTACTTGGGTGCTTGTTTTTCTGGTTTCTGGCTTTGGCCCAGGGCCAACACTGGCTGTTGGATGAATTTGGGGAGTGAACCAGTGGATGGAAGACCTTTCTCTCCCTCTCTCTTTCAAATAATCAGAAACTGGATGTGAGGGCGATCTGCCTGTGATCTCTGCCACCCCATTGATCGCCAGGGTTGATTCAGCTGATCTGGCTGGCTAGGCGGGTGTCCCCTTCCTCCTTCACCTTCCAGGTCCCTCCTGAAGCTGCGTGCTCAGTGGAAGAGGACAACCTTCCCCGCTAGAGGAGGACCGGTCTTCGGTCAAGGGTATATGAGTAGCTGCGCTCCCCTGCTAGAACCTCCAAACAAGCTCTCAAATAGTTAGAAATTAAAAGCAAAACAATAGAGAGTCCAGTAAAAAACCCAAACATATTTGAATATAGTCTTTGGGTTTTTGACAAAGGCATCAAGAATATACAATCAAGAAAGGATAATCTCTTCACGAAATGGTGTTGGGAACCTGGGTACTACATGCAGAAGAATGAAAATTAGAACTGTATCTTCCCAATACAAAACACCAACTAAAAATGTACTGACAACTTAAAGGTAAGACCAGAAAATCTAAAATTCCTAGAAGAAGAAAGGTAGAGGAGAAGCTCCTAGTTGTGAGTCATAGTCATATTTCTTTGGATGGGACACTAAATCTCAGGCAACAATGGCAAAAAGTAGACAAATAGGACTGCAGAAACATAAAAATCTTTTGCAAATCAAAGGAAACCAACAGTATTATGAGAAGGCAGCCCAGGGTTATGGAAAAGTATTTACAAACTACATATCTGATTAGAGGTTATGAAAAAAAATTACATAGGCCTGCGCCGCAGCTCAATAGGCTAATCCTCCACCTGTGGCGCCCACCCCAGGGTTCTAGTCCCCAGGGCACCGGTTCTGTCCAGTTTGCTCCTCTTCCAGTCCAGCTCTCTGCTGTGGCCCAGGAGTGCAGTGGAGGATGGCCCAAGTGCTTGGGCCCTGCACCCCATGGGAAGCACCCCAGGAGAAGCACCCGGCTCCTGGCTTCGCATCAGCACAGTGCGCCGGCTGCAGCGGCCATTGGGGGGTGAACCAATGGAAAAGGAAGACCTTCCTCTCTGTCTCTTTCATTGTCCACTCTGCCTGTCAAAAAAAAATACATAGAGAAAGTTCACCACAAGACAAATCGCAAAATACACCCAACACTGGAATAAAGAAGGTTTATTGTGGGATGGGGGAAACCCAACAGGATGCCTCCCATGCATGAGAGAATAGCAGCCTGTAAGAACAGGTCTTATAAAGCTTTGCAGAGGTGAGGAAGTGGGAGCAGTGAATCCCGTTAGGGTGGGGGTGACACTTGTGCTTGGGCCATTTGGTCACCTGACTTCTAGTAAGCCAGGCTGGGCTTAGGATTGAAGCTTATTGTACAAAATGGCAGTGCAGCCACAGCCTAAGGTCGTACTCCAGATAATATGGTAACATTTTACTAACACGTCGGACACTCACCCAACTCAACAGAAAATCTGATGAAAACCTGGCAAAGAATCTGAAGGGACATTTTACCAAAGATGAGGCAACAAGTATATTTAGAAAAGCTCAGCAGGGAAGCACAAATCAAAACTACAGTGAAATATGATCTCAAATCTATTAGAATGACTATCATCAAAAAGTACAACTTAGCAAGTGCTTGGGGAGGTGTGAATTAAAAAGAACCTTGCACTCTATTGGTGGACAATGAATTAGTGGAGCCATTATGGAAAATAGTATGATGCTTCCTCACCAAAATAAAGACAGAATTTGCATGGGTCAAGCAATGTCACGACTAGTCACCCACTAAAAGGAAATGAAATCTGTTTACCGAGAGATACTGGGGCATCCATGTACAAGACAGCTTTATTCAAAATAGTCTAGACATGACCTCAATATCACTGTCCATGAGCTAGTAAATGGAAAAATAAAATGTGGTATAGACACACAAAGGCATGCAATTCAGCCTTTAAAATAACAAGAAAGAAAGGGGGAGAAAGAGAGAGAGGAAGGAAGGAGAGGGAGGGAGGAAGAGGGAGGGAGAGAGACTTGTCACTGCAGCAGCATGGAAGAGCCCCGAGGGCGCCATGATGGATTAACTCAGGACCACAGAGAAGAAGGCACGTGATTGCCCTCAGGGGTGGGATCTGAAAAGTCCCACTCGCAGAAGCAGAGAGAAACGTGCTGGGTACCGCGCGCCGGGAGCAGCTGAGGGTGGGGTGGGGGTGAAGATCCGAGGAGGTGCGGGTCAAAGCACGCGGGTCCGGGTCCGGGAATGAGGAGACCTGTTGCCCAGCACGGCGGCTGGCCTTGACGGGGACGTCGTGTGAGGACCGCGGCGAGCAGGCTGTAGTTCTCCACAGACAGGACGTGGGCAGCGAGTGCGCACAGCCTGGAGGACCCGGTCACGCGCATTTCATACACAGCGCTCGCTGTCCACTAAAAGAGCGCGTTTCCAAGTGGTCACCACACAGCCACCAGGGAAGACAGACGTCCTCCTGGCGGTGTTTCGGCGGTGTAGCGGTCATCACGCTGGCCTCCCACGCGAGAGCTCCCCGGTGCGAAACCGGGCGGGAGCAGCGGCTTTTGCCTT